ACCGGACCATGTCGTGAGTTCTGCGGCTTGGATGAACATCTGTTGGTTGTTGTGGACTGTCCATTCACAAGTGAGGCGCGGGATAGAAGTTGAATGAAGTTGCTTAATGGAAAGGAAGAAGTGGATGGGTCCGCATTGAACATCATCGAACAGTGTTTTCACCAAGAAAGTGCTTCGTCGCAAAACCTCCAAACATGCAACCTGTGGAAGATTCATCAAGAAAGCTGGTCTATTGGCAGTTCACGGATCGCTTTTGGACGAACGAATTGACGATCTGCGCCACATGCATTGGGTGGACCTTTGGGTCAAAGAAAGCGACGTGTGGAATCGTTTGACGACATGTTCAGAACATGATAGAACATAGATTCATAGATAAGATCGTAGGATGAAACACATGAGACCGTAAGACTGCAAACAGGAGAATCATATATTACAAAGAAAAGTAACATGAAACAGGTAGAACCTGTTCACTGCAAGACTAAAACAAAACCATTCTTTCGACATTGAGATCAAAAATGTGCGGCAAACAAAGGATCATAGATGTACTTGAGAGGAGGGAGACACGAAAGGTAGGACAGCGGGAAGAGAAGAGAACGCGAGAGGCAGGAACAAAAATGCAATGTTCGACATGGTGATTTATCCCCTCGGAGGCGACCTGTCGTAAATATATATGTTCATATGCACTCTAAATGTTCAAACATATGCTCTCGAAATGTTCAAAAAGATTCTGAGGAAAACAAACTTGCCCCATGGCTCAGATCATCGGTGAGCATTGAATCGGAGGATCATAAGATTTGAACTATCCTAAAACCATAAGAGGCTCACGAAGACGTTCCCGAGGAGAGAATTGACGTGCTTCACAAAACAAACTCTAGGTATGTATCCCCTCGGGGAACACCTTTTGTGGTTAGAATTTCATATGCACTCTTTCTGAATGTTCAAGAGGGTTTCAACTATCCTGAAATCATGAGAGGCTCACGAAGACGTTCTCCAGGAGAGAATTGAATTTAGAAGGGGGGGGGTCTGTATTGAGAAATCAATTCGAGGGGGGGGGTTGAATTGAATGATCAATTATTAGACCCGGACGCGCCAACACTTGCTTCGCAAGACAAACTCAAGGTATCCCCTAAAGGGCTACCTTTCGCGAAAAACACAACCCGCCAAAATATACCACAATCGCCACAATGTTCGACAACCCACACTACCACCCACCAACAGCCAGCACCACCTACCACAATCCAGCATATTTTCGGTGGTATCCTTCTGTCCGAGGCTCGGCAGTCCGCCGCGGCAAGGAGTGTCATGTTGCCAATCCATGCAGGTCACATCCCGGGCATCAGCTGTGAGATCGGCAACGCCATCATCTTCTCCTGCCGAAGAAAAACACAGCTCCTTCCCAGTCGATGCTTTCGACACTGCTTTCGATGGATCGACTCCTCCCTCAATGAGTCATTGAGGGAAGACAGTGGCTGACACAAACAAAGAGGGAAGCAAAATGGCTGTCTCAACATGATGCGCCTCAAACACCTGGTCTTTGCTGGACCATTTCGTCTGGCCACCCAATTCCAACACCACGCCGGTCGATCGCCACATTGGAAGGACATGGCCATCCTGGCCTCATGCGGGTCACCTTCTTAATGATCATGATTCAAGCCACGCGCCAATGTCAGGACATGATGGTGACATGATTGGCTATAAGTCTAAGTCATGGTGCGGTCTCGCTGGATCATGGAAGCTGTATCAACATCTGCTCCTGCCAAATCTCACCTCAAGATCCACCTTTCGGGACACTCGCTTGACATGTCGACCTCCGCCCAAAACGTCTCCATCTCAAACAAAATCGACAACTTCAGATCAGTCTCCTAGTGGGAAGCAGCCCAAGCATTCAAACTCTGAATCGCGTTCGTCTCCGATGTCCGTGTGTTCGCCTATGTGCGCGGAACGGGATCGACCGACGGTCCCATCCAATGGTGGAATCGACATTGACGGTCGGTTCCCCCGATGGAGTTTAGCGAAATCCACGTGGGCAGGTTGGTGAAAAAGAATCTGTTACCTATGGAAGTTCATCTGCTATAGTTGTCCGTTACTGGATCGTCGACATCTTAAAGTTTCCTTTCGAGGTTTGATATTGAAAGGGTAGGGTATGATATGACTCTGTATGACCGGCTATAATCTGACGTCAGCTCTTCTTCCATCATCACCCTTTCATGAATGATCTTTCATGGATGGTGGCTGTGCCGGGTGAACAGTCGGCTCGGAGCTGTCTTTGCTCCGAGAAGCTCTCGAGAACAGCTTCGAGATCGAAGTCTTGGCACTCCTTCGCACACCAGATGACGCCGCAATGACATTGCCTCCACATGACGGTTTTCGGTTCATGGACTCACTCAAAGCGGTTGGAGGGCGAGTCTTGGGGGTGGCATGGCGGCATGGAAGTGCCAACGCCTGAACCTTCCTTTTCAAAGAGCCTGGACCTTGTTTCGTGAACCGACAAGGGGAAGTGCCACATCTTCACATCTGACCGGCCAGACTAGGCACCTGTATACCTCCGGCTTCATGAGATGATGGCAGCTGGAGTCTTCCAGCAGCTCGCCACTCGTTGAAAAACACTGTACAGGGCGCTCCTGCGCGTGGCGCAACGCGCGGCGCTTTTAGTCTCTCTGTTTTGGGAGCTGTCCCATCCCAGGTCATTTACGTTGGAGTTTCAAGTGAAATGATAGGGTTTTCTGGGTGTTCGATGGAACCACCCGAGACGGGCTTGCACTGCTGGCCTAGCATGCCTTTGCTGGCTGACCTCCACAAAAACTCCCAAGCTTGCAGCTTTCCGCCAAATCCCCCCCATATCCGGTCTATACAAATGCTTCAAATCTTGTGGTTGGGGTTGAGTCTAGATCGAAAAACTGTGAACATCAACAAACTCCACAATAACATACGATATACTGAAATACTGCACATGAAACTAGAAAGTTTCAATGGATCATAACATGACCACCTCCTGCGAAACTAATCCAGAAAACGCACATTCCAGCGTGTCACGCATCCAGCGCACGTCCACGTCAAGTCAGTCCATCGGTCGAGAAGCCGACCAAACCAGGGCAGTGCGGCTGCTCCGTGGTCCTTCACTTGCACCCAGATGCACTCCCCAGTGCACTAGGCCCGGCGTCCGGAACCGGTGCAACTCATCCTCCCCGTCTCACGCCGCTCCTGAAAGGCAAGCTTTGGATCGCTGCGTTGCCTCGGAACCGCCACGGTCGGCATGACAGAGTCAGTGAAGTTGGACCGAGGGGTTGACGGCTTCAACGCAACGATTTAAGGGGTGTCGCTTCTGGGTACCAATATGGGTGTTTCATATTTCGGGCCTGAAACAAAGAACACTCTCATTATTATGTTGGGTGATTCAGCATCAATGACAGCCCAAGAAAAACGCCCTTTGCAAGAGCGAATCTCTTCAAACCCGACCTCACCAACCAACCAAACTTATGGCTTCTTTCCTATCCAAGCGGTCCATGCGGGGGTCAAATGGGTTCTGGCTTTAAAATGTCTATGCAATTTAGTGCATATTATTTACACTAATGATTCAGAATTGATTCCTCCATCTGCTCCGCAACCCCACCCACCCCCCTACAACTCACCTCAGACACCAAGCTACCCTGAGGGACACGCTCGCCGGCAGTCGCCGAAGGGCGCGGCCACCCAGGCCGCGGAGCTCCGCCGCTCCAGCGCCAGCGCGGCCGCCACCGGGTCCGCTGAGACTTTGCTCGGCGCGAGGCGGCGCCTTGGTGGGTACCGCAGAGGGACCACGGTGGCCCGTGCGAAGCCACCCATGCAGAGACCGTAAGGTGGAAGGCTCCCCAAGAAGTACTAGTAAGGTGATGTGTGAAGGAACCGTTGAGGGATGCACAACTCCATGTTGTTATGAGAGCGCATGGTCCTCTTGTCCTCTATGCTTTGACATTTGGGCCTCACACATGGGCACACGGATTCCTAGTAGCTGCATGGCTGCGATGGGTTCTATCCCGCCGGGTCTTCATGCCCGTTCAACACTTCTTTGACCACTCAGACCACTCTGCAAGTCATATATCTCCATGGGCAATCCCGCAGATCTGACCCGTTAAATCAGCTCAGCCACTGTATGAACAGGCTGCCTCCCGTCTTGGAGCAGGCCTGGTCACTGCAATCTCCTGAGGGAACTGGCTTGCACCTCTCAAGACATCACAAGACCAGTGTGCCTTTGGCCTGCGAAGAGATCCTAGTCCCCACCAGGATCCATGGACCATGTCTGCCAGAATCTCTGGGCAATTGGCAGAACCTGCATCTTAGGTGTCTGGAACTCCAACCACTCCCTCCAGTCAATCCATTCCCATACATTGACTCGCCCAAATGCCACTCCCCTCGAAACAGTCCACGCACCAAAGCGTTCCAGTGTCCTTCGTTTCCTTGCGCGAGGCATGGGAACGCAAGGAGTAAAATGCCCTTGGTAGGCCAAGAACAGATATCACGAGGCAATCATGCCACTGCAATCAGCATTTCAACATCTTAGGCAAGGTCATGTAATTATTGGAACGTTTTATGGCCCCAACCGGCCCCAAAAGAATAATCCAAAGGAGTGCAAAATGCATAAAAGCTGCTATGGGCTATGGGTACTTGTTGTTACTTAGGCTTGATCTTGTTCCCTCCTTTCCTCACTAATATGGATCAAATATGTTCAAATGCTCTGAAATCTCCAAGTTGCAAATGGAAGGAAGCGCAGCATTGCTCACTTGTGCAGGTAGATCATGGTAGATGGCAAGCTCTCAAATGGCTGCGTCAGTTCCGTGCAAACCTAACTCTTGATGAACAGCCCATCTTGCATCCATAGGAACAGATTTCAAATTGAAACTGTATTCTCTTAGCAAGTGCAATGGATTAGGTATGCCCTGTTTATCTTGGTGGCACAGGTTCTTCTTCGCAAGTGCAAATGAATGTTCCCGTCATTGCCATCAATACCTGAACGTGCTTCCGGCCTTTTGTCCTCTCAGCTTTCCATCGCAGCCAAGCTGAGGCAAAGTCGTGCCGCCGCATGATGTTGCCTGAGTCAGAGTGGTGAGGACTGAAGATTCATGTCTTCAATTTCCAAACGAGGAACAGGTACCCCTAGCATAACCAAAAGTAGGTGAATCAATTATACCCATTGTGGACACAGTCAAATTAATGAATCAAAAGCCTTTCAATAGTTGGAAGATGTTGGAAGTTGAAACTGAGACTCTGGGGAGACTCGACATCTTCCACCGGAGACTCGAACTCTTTGCAAACACTGAACTGTTTGCCCCGTCGGTTCCGAGAAGCGACATGGTCGACCGGCCTCCGCCTCGCTCGGTCCGAACCACTTCGACCCCAGATCCCCCCACCATCGGAGCGTCCCCTGCGGTGCGGGCGGCAGCAGTTGGTGAAGGTGCGCCGGGTCATCTCTGCGCCGACGAGCTTCCTGGGCTGAAGAAAGACAGTCACCAGCTGGGGGCGTGGGCTTGGAAAGAAGAACACTGCTCTCAATGCCCAAGGACTCCGGGGAACCTGGAGGTTCTCCGACTGAAGAACCAGTCAAGGTGATTCATGGGGATTTGCGTGTGGAAGCAGCTTCAGTTCTTCGGTTCAGACAGGATCTTTGCCACAAGCAAGGTGCCATGCTGTAGCCCTGGACTGGCATCCGGCGATCTTCACAGTGGAGAACTTGTGGAAACCACAACATATAGAAAACCACTTTATCTCTACAAGCCAGTGATTTGGGGCCCGCGCTTAGCGGTACGTTTCCCTTGCTCGCTCCCTTTGGTCAACCACCCTCATCAGTCTATCCGGGTCTCTCGCGTAAGTTCTCATCCATGGTAGAGTCGCTCATCCGGCAGCGGGGGTCGTTGGGGACTAACGACTGGAAGATGCCCTTCGAGTGGAGCTCAGCCCTCGAAGACATCGGATCCCGGTCAAGGTCGGGCGGAACATGCTCGGTGACAACAGGAGCATGACATCATGACCGAATCAAAGAATCCACTGCGTTGGGGATTCTGATGGATTCTGTGAGTTCTTGGGCTGAACAACCCCCACATTGCTCATTTGACCAGGTGTGTAAAGAGAACTTAGGCTGTGAACCACGTGCGTTACACCGGCGATCTTTTCACTCCGCGGGATCTCCACGGGTGTTTTGGAATGTGGACCTCCCCATGACAGGAAAGCCGGAAGGTGAGCGGCGATACTGGGCGAAGTTGCGGGACGCTGTTGGTCGAAATCCGCACTGGCCGCTTCACTTCAGACTCTTGATGTGCAACTTTCTATAGACATCTGAGGTATACCGACTCCCTCAGTTGCCATGAACAATTCACGGTTCACCGATCGGTCATTCTTTTTGGGTTCGGAGTGCTCACCATGCAGGTGAGCCACTGAGTGGGTAGAGCTCACTTCCGCAGCGCCCCTCGGTTCTGAGGTCCCCCCTGGTGAAAACGGCTGGCGTTGGGCCGAGGCACATCAACAATTGCAAGCCACCGCCGCCAAACACAAACATCTGCACGGTGCCCAGGACATATGCATGCCTGTCAAGAGGTGAAGCTCAAAGGCCTGCTCACATGCTGAGACAGAACGGTGCACAACTTGTCCCACACCTTGGACGCACAAATCCTCTGTCAATACCAGGCTATTGCCGAAGATGTTGGCAGGGCCGGCATTGATGCTGAATCATGATGCGGGCTTCCTCTTTCTTATGGAGTGCGATAGCTAGCCAAACATTTGTGGCTTATAAGATGCAACAATATAACTCTTCCAGCCATTCCAGCTTGTAAAACATGCGGCATTGTGAACCTTTCACATGCCGTTGGGCCTTGTTTTAACAATTGGACACCATGTGCCTGATGGAGCACAAGACTCCATTGTCCCCACTTACGGAGGACAGGGTTTCCCATCTGCCGAGTCACAGAAACTTCTTTCTTGAGATGGGGCGCCCCAGTCTCTCGTACGTCACGAGGAGCTCGCCAATCAGCCTCTCCTCTGGCAGGAGTCCCCTCTGCTCGGAACGAGGGGGAGTCTCATGAGACAGGCGACGGAAGGTGACGGCAATGAAGTACTGCGGGTGGTGGGCTGGATAGAGGCAACTGGATGCAGACGATGAAACATTTTGGTTACAGTGGCCACCAGGACAGGCAGGTTCAAACACCAAATATCATTAAACATGATTGTGGCGGTGTATAGTGTTGTTCCATCACAAAAAAACATCCGACTGACAGCAAATCTGGACATATAGTCAATAGACGCAAACACAGAATGTCATGCAAACTAGTTAAGACCCAGAACCTCATGGTTTCTGTGGTCCTCATGCTCGGTCAGGAATTCGGGTTCCAGAAAATGCCAGTTCCATGCCCATTCTTGGGCCACGTTGTTGACGCAACTTTGCTGCCAATCAAACCTCACCCGATCTTCACCCGGATGAACGACGCGAGTCGTTCATCCCTCACGACGCGGCTTCGTTCGCACGCTGGGACGGGGATCCTGCGGGTTTCGTGTCCATTTGGTGCAGAAATGAGCAGAAAGACTCGCGAGGTTCAGGGAACAGTGAGGGTAATCTCAGTACATGCATTGAGTAGGTTGGAGTCTCAAATCTGGTCGGATGTCCTCGCATTAGAGGAAGGGATGTTCATGAAGAGTGGTGAGGAGTGAGGTACCTGCAATATCCCTCAAAAACCCTACCGGATGGGCCAATCCGGCATGGCACGCAAACAGGTAGAATCAGGTCGTTCCACCCAATGATTTAGGATTGTCTTAGGATGACGATAAATTCCAGTTTTCTTCAAAGGAAAGAAATATAGGAGACCGATCCTGTTTTGTTCCGTCCTGATCACCAAACAAACACTTGAAAGAAACCAAGAACTGCAATGTCAACTGAAATTGTATGTATATTGGGAACCACCTTTGTGTGTGTATATATATAGTTTTTATTTGTTTTCATGTGTGCCCACCTTTAAGAGGCTTTGCACTATCTTAAAAAATGTACTGTAGCTGTATGCTTTAATGCTACTAGCTCTTTCACTCCTTTACATTTCGACTGTTCCGGGGCCAGCCAGCTCAGGCCTATTCAATGCGGAGATGTTCTTCCATGCTCTTGCCACCAATCTGACATCTTCAAGCCACCGTCAGAATCAGTTCACAATCCGGATAACCAGGTGGCAATCCCAGCTTCAAGTGATCACAATCCTTCCAGTAGAAAGCATTGTCCGTGGTCAAGTCATTGTGCCCGAACGCCGCCTCAGTTGACTCCGTCGACATCATTCAACTGCACCCAGACAAGTTGAAATATTTATCGGACCTCAATTGTCCCTCGCTATGGAAATCGCATCCCTGGGTTTCGCACTTTGTTTCATTATATACAACAAATGTTTTGAACTAGTGCCTCGCCTTGTTAAAACTGCCTCGCTCAGCATTCAACCTCTAGGGAGCCCGTGCTGCGGTTAGGCATAGTAGTAGTAGTAGTAGTAGTAGTAGTAGTAGTAGTAGTAGTAGTAGTAGTAGTAGGAGTAGCAGTAGTAGTAGTAGGAGTAGCAGTAGCAGTAGCAGTAGCACTAGCAGTAGCAGCAGCAGTAGCACTGCAGCACGACCTGCCCCAAATATCCTCTGTCCTGAAACTGTCCAATCCCACCTCCCGCCATTTTCCAGCTAGTACACCTCATTATCTCATGTTTGGATCCATTTGAATACAAATTCCATCAACGTTGACGCCATCGTTTGAGACCAAGGAGATCCAAGGCGCCATGTCGAGGTCTTGCGCAAGGGAGGTGAGGATGGCTGGCATGTCATTGATGAGCTCCCACTCCTATTTGCAGTAAGAGGAGCGTCTTCTGCCAATCCTTTCAGTTCGTCAACAACTCGCCAGTGTTCTGTCAGCAGAACTCCCGGTCATTCTGGACGAGTCCCCAGTGTGGCCCAAAATTGCGATTGATCAAACAGTTGGAGGAGAACCCTTGAAGCAAGTTTTGGTCTGTTGTTCTAGTCACCAGTGGTTTATGAAGGGGCTCTCTGTTAGCACACCGCTAACCACCTCAAAGCGACCCTCTCAACCTGTTTTCAATTGGAACTGTTCCCAATATATGATATATCAGCTAATCATATATTGGGAACAGTTCCAATTGGGAACGCCAGGAACTGAAAAATGACACACATGTTTCATCATACTTTCCCACCCCCAACATCAGTTGTTGTGTCTGTTGCCGATGCCACCCATAAACTCACTGACTGATGCTGCCACCCACATGAGGTCATTGCCCCTGTGCCGGATTCTCGTAAACTTGCTCCTTGCCCTTCAAGTCGCCAGGGACATCCCAGGTCATCCAGTCCTCGTTCACCTGGCATCATCGAAGGCGTGCGTAAACAAGTGTTGAGTTGAATGGGACGAGGAGTGAGAGCTGTTTGCCAGCTACAAAAGATTATGAATTTTTACCCAAACGTGTTACACAACGTGGAGATGCATCTCGCCGCTTGCATGGAAAGCCTTCATGATGCTTCATGTGTGGATGTTTTCCCTTCGCGACTGTCGTTGAACATGCCCAGTGTCGCGTTCTCTTTAGGTCAGCCATTCCCCGCCTCTGCTTGGCCACGCAAGGTCCTCCGCACCGTCTGTCCCAAGCCAAAGCGTCCACTCAAGGAGCACAGGACCCACATCTCTCCTCACCAGACAGCTCCCAACGGTATTGAGAGAGCGTCCAACCCGTTGCAAGCCGCGAAAAGAGTGAATTCCCCCAGCTACTTTATTTCGAGTGGCCTCCACCATGACATTTCAATCCTTTGATCTCATGCCATGGTGAGGAGCACGTAGCCATGATCGTGAGTCGTGAGTTTTGCGGTTTCGACTTTGCTTGTGGGTCCTCGGGCTTGGGATTGTTCTTTTGGTGTTAGGGAGTTCGCGTCGGAGTGTCGCCAGGGTCTCCAGTTGGCATCCAAAAGTGCTACCCTGTGACCACCTATGACCACCTGCCAAACAAAAATACCACACACGCAGGTAAGTATGTTGTTATATGTTGTTGTATTGCGCATTTGCGGTTGTGTTTGACTGTTGTGTTTGTGTGTTGTGGTTGGTGTTGTGGTTGTGTACTGTGTTTGTGTGTTGTGGTTGTGTGCTGTGGTTGTGTGCTGTGGTTGCGTGTTTGTGGTTGTGCTTGTGCTTGTGGCTTCTGTGTGTTGTGGTTGCGTGTTGTGGCTGTGTGTTTGTGATTGTGTGGTTGTGCTTGTCGTTGTGTTTGTGGCTGTGTGTGTTGTGGTTGTGCGTTTGTGATTGTGTGTCGGTAATTGTGTTTGTGGTTTGTGTGCTTGTGGTTGTGTGTTTGTGTTTGTGGTTCTGGTTGCGGGCTTGTGCTTGTGATTGCGTTTGTGGCTAGTCTGTTTGTGGTTGTGTGTTGTTGGCTGTGTCTTGTGTATTGTGTGTTTGTGGCTATGTTGTCTGGTTTTGTGTTGAGGTCCGGTAGTGCCCACTGTGATCTGGCGCTTGTGGTTGAGGTCCGGCAGTGCCCACTCCGATCTGGCGCTTGCGAGGAGGAGGAGCAGGAGCCGGAAGGAGGAGAAGAGCTGATAAAATCTAACAAGCCTCTCCTTGGCAGGTGGGGAATCAATTGAAGTGGACATTGGCCCAATTGGACGTGAGACGATTCGGTAATATGGTTGTCTTCAAGGAGCAGGAGGGGTTTCAGCAAACTTTGTCTTGTTTGGACAGGGGAGAACACATGAGAGCACTGCCGGGTGGCATTCCGCGAGTTGCGACCGAGCCATGCGACCTGATCTCCCCGCCCGAAAACACACAACTGTAGTACTAAAATGTACTAAATAAGCATGCATGAGCGGAGGCGCATCATCGTGATTCTTGACCCACACCGGACCGGCACTGGAGATTAGGGTCATCGATCTGCCGCAAGGGTCTGCCGCCTTTCTGCTTCGATCGCCTTATCTTCATCTCTGGTCGGTCGCTACCCTCCAATCCAAGTCTCGATGAGTCTCATAGAACTTGGGCATGTCTCGAAGCACCTCCCGGTGCATGCTGTGGGGAGCTAACACCAGGAGAGACCGACCGGTTGACCGACCGGTTGACCTAAGTTGACCTACCATGACCTACCTGGTGTCGGTCGTTCGCTACATTGGTGGACGACCGTCGGGCTCCAGGTTGAACAACCCCTTCCCCATGTCTCGTTCCACATCTCGTTCCATGCGTGCCTGAATACAGGGAGGGACGGGACGGAGTCGAAGGGTCAAAAAATGTCCCGAAAAGGGAAGAATAGAGGGATCGATGCCAGGTACCATAGACCAATTGGATGTACACTTGGGGTATCCCCTTATATATCCTTATATTCTAATCAACTCAAGGGTGCAGTCGGAGGCCGCTCTAGGCCCTTTAAGATGCTCGAGGCCTTTTCGAAGCAACATGCGAAATGCAAAGGGACAAGAACATCATGCACAACCCCTGAGTGGTGCTTAGTAGGGAATGAGGGAATGGATCGGAATCTCGGGGCTCATTCCCTCATTCTCTACTCAGCACCAGTCAGACCCGGAAGAGTATGTGCGATGACTTTCGATTATTGTGTTGCCTTCAGTGATGAGAAGAGTATGTGCGATGACTTTCGATTATTGTGTTGCCTTCAGTGATGAGAAACTTTGAGAAGGACAAACCGCGCACGCTTAGGTGAAAAGGGGGTCCCCCTGCTGCTTTGGTCACCAAGCGGGTAGTCCGGCGTTCGCCATGGCTATATAAGCCCCCTGGGTCCCATTTTGACGTGGGGCGACGAAGGGGTGGCTGGTGGCTCAACTGCATGCACCTTGGTGATTGGAATCAATTGAATCTAGTGTGGACCCCAAGCATCCCAAAGCCCTAAGTGGAATCCCAATCCATTCGACTGGCCAGAACTTGCCATTGTCTCTCGCTTTAGCCTGATTGTCCGCCCAGAACTTGCAATGAAGTCTTGCACCAGTCTCGATGAACAGCAATTGCTCCTTCACAGCAGTTTTTGTCCACGCATCCAATCACTCCCCTCGTCCCCGGGCGAGTCTTTTCAGTCAAATCGCATCAAAGGATCATCTGCCAAAGAGTAAAACGAATTCTCAGTTTCCTAGGACTCCGAACATCTGCTTCGAGGAAAAATGGGAACTCTATCCTTATCAGCACTCGAGTGGACCGGGAAAAACAACAAAAACGTCCCCAGCCCTCCATGTGTTGTAACTCCTCCAAGGTGGCGGGGTCCCGGATGCGGTGCTTCATCGGCCGAAGCTCGAAGCTCGAGGCGCTCGCGTCCGCAGTGGAGACCGCGGCAGGCCCGCCGAAGTGGAGGGCTTCAGTGAGCAGGCAGAACTCGCCTGTGCTAGGATTGCTCTGTTATGTAAAAATACAGAAGGGGTACTCCATGGTACTCCTACAGCAAGCACCTGAAAGGCAAGTCTTGCATCCCTACCAACACCCGCCCTCTAAATGAATACCAGGAACATCCAGAAAGAGTCCAGGGATGGAGCAAGGACGCGTCGATTGCTTTGTATGCTTTTGATGTTATTTCTTTTTGCTATTTGCACTGTGAGAGTAAAACTGGCCATTCAAACGCAGATGTCACTCTAACACTGCCTGCGGCTCTTTGAGCGCCGATGCGCTTGTGAGCTGCTTTAGGTGTTGCTTGGTGAAGGATGAAGGTGAATGTAGGTGGTTGCTCTTTGAGGCAAGCACATTGATGAATCAAACCAACGGGGGGGGGTTCGATCTGCTCCACGGCCTTCCGTGTCACCATGATCATTCCAGGGAGTGTCCTTCTTTTGTACCAGGTTGGGACCATTCTAGAAAGGTCTCGGTTGGAGGTTGGGGGTCATGTCCCAGGAGGCTGCATGACAATAACACACTCAACAGCCGACGGGAACCTTCCCAGCCCGACCTGTGAGCCGGTTGAAATCCACGAAAAAGCCTCGTACGGAAGAAACCACGATAAACCACGCCGTGAACCGGCACGCGCGCTTGTTGGACGCTGCACGTAAATAAGAATGTCAGACTTCACAAGAGGAAAGCATGTTTGTCCAAAAGACTTCGTTTCAAGTCATTTCCTACACCAATGCTTTTTATATCTTTTCGTGTTTGGGCGTGTAGTGACCCGCTTGTCCTCTCAAGTGACATCTCTGGCGCTATCAACAAATGCTACCAATCTAGTGGATGGGTGGCAGAAAGTGGGTCGATCCATTTCCCGAACACATGGAGTGGACCGGTGACCACAAATTGATGAGAAGTGCAAATGCCAATCCGAGCAAATGTCAAACCAGACTTGGTAGATGGGTTTGTCTAAGTGGAAGCAGAATCCGCTCCTGCTCCTACCCAAGACGGGCCGAGTCGTCTTGGCCTGTGCAGCCGACAGTATCCAACCGCCCAAGCAACACTTGGGAGTTTTCACCACCTCCGCGGCCTCTTCAGCCAAGTGATGGTAGAAGAGCGCCTGTGTCAGCGGCGGAGGGTCGTTGCCAGGTACCATAGACCAATTGGATGCACACGATCAGGGTATATATCCCCTTTATAGTCCCCTCTACCAGCACCTGACTCTAGTAGCTTTTGGAGACTTAAAAGTGTCAGGTGGTGACCTGTTGGAGGGTGTGCAACAACAAACCACCAATCAGTAAATCGCCATCTATCGTGTCAACAGGACGAACAACCAACTGCATCCAGGGGGCGCTTGTGCTTTTGCTGAGTTCCTATGACGTATTGAGAGAATGGCACTTTTGTTGTCAATACTCACCACCTGTAACAGCGTGGAACCAGCTGTATCTTTTCCACCACAAGCATCTGGAAATGTGAAATTAGACTCTAGACCTGCTCCGTTGGCTTCCTGAAACCTCCAGCAGAAACAGGCTCCACCTCCGGTGTCACCTGACCCGCGATGCATCCTCCGGTGCACATGCGCCCGACCTCCGATCCGATCCGCGTCGCCGCGTCCGCGGGCGGCCTCGCAAAGGCAGACATCGGAGGTAGCGACCAAGAGGCGCATGGCGCCAAAGCTTTGCAAGTTGAACTTCACGAAGAAGGTCCCCGGAAGGTTGGGCACCTTCCGAAAGAGCGACGTGTAAGACGAACACAGACATGCGAAGACGAAAATGGCTGGCAAAGGAATGCGAGAAGATTTTCCACGGGTGGTTCTGGTGCAAAATGAAGCTGAAAGGATGAGGAAAAGAAAAAGCGGAATCATGGTGGTGAAAATTGATCATTCATATCAAATGAGTATAAAACTACAAAGGACCAGCGATAGCTTGCCGGTTTTCTATAGACTTGATTATCACAACAGCTGAAGTCATGCTTCACCAACATCACCAACCTTGAATGGAAGGACCATGTTTTTTGATCCACCCACAACATGATCAAACGACAGCAGTCAACCACCAAAATAGTTGTCCCCGGTTTCAGCCTCCTTGGAAAAGGTCACTTTCAGCAGAGCTTTGTCTCCTTTCACGCCGTCTTTGATGTCCTTCCTCGGCTTCTCGGCTTTCATTTCCAAACTTCAGTTTCGAACAATTTGCCACCCTGGAATCACCAAAAAACAGTTACTGCTTTGAAGTTCTCAGAAGCTCTATCAGTCTCAGACCCCATGAACCATCATCATGAAGCATTCATGAACCAACTCCCATCCCAGGTGTCACATCACTTCCTCCACTTCCTTCCCTCCACAAAATCCTTCTGCGCATGCCGACGGAACTTCGTTCCGGAACCGAGCGTCCGCAGATGTTGGACGGAGAGGACGGAGACGTCCAGTGGCAAGTGCTGACCATGTTGCAACATCTTCGTCAAGAGCTTCGGACCACGTGGACCCGTCAGCTCTTCGACCTGGTCCAGACCGAAATGGGACGAAGGGGCGGAGGTGCAGATCTCCCGAGATCTACCCAGTTTCAGGATCAGAGACGTGTTGGAAAGTGACTTCACTCACCTTATAACATGAATAATCGCTCCGTGAGTGCAAGAAAGGCTTGAAACAAACTCCCAACATGGGAGGTCCGCAGCTCCCAAAACAAGCTGGTCTTTTCACAATTCTGTACCCAGAATGCACCTGTTTTTCGTCTCGGACAGAGGCCATGAACAAGTTCTCTTTTCTGCCCTTTACGACCTGCTTTTCTTCTTTGAATCCACTATTATAGTGATAGTGGCACGGTTTCCAATACATTTTTCGTGGGGATCTACGTCCCTTTCTCTCGTCTGACAGGGGGTCGTCCGTTTCTCTCGAGGATTGAGATGTCGATCTCCGGGACCGACCAGGAAGTCTGGTCTGACCAGCTCCGGTCGACCTGCTCAAAAAAAGCGCTGTGAATGTCTTCTCTGGCTCCTTCACAAAATCCGTTCTTTGTACCATCCAAAATACATCATTGTGAAAGAACTGGCAAACAGTGGACTGCTTCCAGGGTACCACGGTGTTTGTTTTCCGCTTGCATGTTGGTGTGCGAATGTCTGCGAGAAGATCAAAGGTAAGAAGTGGATGGTCGGGTGTTGCGATGCTTCCTTACCTTCCTTGCAAAAGGTGCAAAGATCAATTGATATTATTGCATCACAGGCCCTCCTCCCATCTCCTCCCATGATCTTCTTTACCCGCATCGGGGTTGTCAGGAACCCTAAAATCACCTTTGGAAGTTGGGAGAACATCAAACAACACCAGAGGATTAGTCCTTTCATGTCCTTTCGTAGCTCTGGTTCACCACCCACAAGCAATTCTTTCCCACTGCTCACACAAACAATGGAGGAAGGAGATCCCCCTTCCTCTTCTTGCCACTTCGCAGTTTCTCGGCAAATTGGTGAGTCTCCAAACAAACAGTTCTCAAACTGGTATTCCAGGTGAGGTATATGCTTTAAAGGAAATATGTTTTGGCCCAAGTGCAGCACCGTTCTCAGCCGTCACCATCAACCAAAAACCACGACAAACACCCGCTTCCCGCCACGGCACTGAGATTGGGAACCACAGGCCTGTGAGGGCACCGGCCGCCCTGCGACCTACAGGCTAGCCGGGTCGAGTGGATGCCGTGTGGGAACTAGACGACAGGGTGGCCCGAAAGCAAGTAGGCGGAAGAGAACAAATAGAAGGGAAGAAAAGCGAAGTAACAGAAGATGAATGAGCACTAAAGAAATGAAGAGATGATATATGATGATTCAAAACATTAAGATGAAACAAAATGAGATGATGATGAGATGACACAATATATAATATATATATATCTATATATATATATATACATTATGATTATGATACTATTATCACGTTATTACCAAATCTATTAATGTATATTCTGTTGCACTGTACTTCGGAGCCCAAACGGTAGTCCCGGTCGATTCTTTTTTATCCAGCGCCGGTCGAGCTCAAACGCTAGTCCCGGTAGTAAGAGCCGCCGAAGTGTGCGAAATCGCACGTCCCAACCTGGCATCAGGACAACCAATGCTCATACAAATGCAACACTTGAAAAACAAAACAAATTACCCACAGTTCAACTCATGTTGTTTTGTCGGTTATCAGATATAGTTGCACACCCAGTCGGAACAGGATCGACTTCGAACAACTCTCGGTCGTGGATCTCGTGCCTTGTGGAGTCTCTGCGCGTTCAGCTGGAACAAGGGTCGACTTCGGACAACTTCCGGTCGTGGACCCAGGTCCTTCTAATCAGTTTGGTCACGACACTTTGCAATAGCCAATTCACAGCTTTTCGCCGATACTTGTAACTTCGTGGCTGGTGACTATATGTGGCATCGACATGCCGGCCTCCTGGAATTCCATTGCGTGGTGTCCACTTTCATTTGGTCCCACTTGTTGCCGCTCAACCTGTTCAAAAGACTCAATGTCTCTGGAAACGAAACTGGTCTTTCAGGTCAAATCACAACAAGCAAAGAATATCATTCAAGTCCAACAATCGAACAAAAAAAAGATGTCTATAGAGCTCTGTTTGCACAATTTTATCGGTTATCAGGTATATTCGCGCACCCAGTCGGAACAGGATCGACTTCGAACAACTCTCGGTCGTGGATCCCGTTCCTCATGGGGTCTCTGCACATTCAGTCGGAACAAGGGCCGACTTCGAACAACTTCCGGTCGTGGACACAGGTCCTTCTAGCCAGTTTGGCCACGAATTCACAGCTTTTTGTCGACACTTTGGTCACGACGTTTCAAATTCCCAACGCCAGGCATGCTTGTGATGCTCCAAGGATCGCAGTGCATACAAGACATATGCTCGTCGCTTCCACGGTCTCAGGCTTGGACGCTGCTGGAGCACACAGTCAATGGCATCCTCGACACTGAGATCCCACCAGATCACCAGCCAGGCGCAAAGCGCGGCGGTACTGCGATTGATGCCTCCAAAGCAATGAAACAAAGGCGTAAACCTGATGTCGTGGTTCCAGTAGTAGGAGGCCACATCCCAAAGAACATGCATCAAATCTTTCCAGAAAGCTAAACATTCACCGGCAGACTGACGATGCTTCGCCAGCTCTGTATTTGGGTCTTTGACTGTGGGATCCTCGATGAACCACCAGATATGAGCGACGCCACAACGTTCAAAATAGGTGGGCAAATCTGACGGCGCGCCGCGCACCTGGATCTCGTTCCCACACAGGGTCACGACATGGGAGATCTTTGTCGTGTACTCCACCTCCACCGCTTCAATGTTGACAGCCGCTTTGACACTACCGAGGAAGATGGCATCCCCTCCCAAGGTAATGCAGCTGGCATCCAGTGGCCAGGCAGTGATATCTCCAAAATTGTAGTCATGACTGTGTGTCTTCCAGTCCAGCGGCTTCCATGGCAGGCGTTTACCACTGGAGGAAGAAGAAGGACCTGGAGGGGTTGAATTGGTTGCGCTGGCGGGATTCGAACAACTTCCGGTCTCGCGCCAACGCAACTGATCTATGTATAAAGTCGATGGTACCTACGTAAGATACGTTTGTTTCATGAGCTCCATTGATCGCACGGTTGAATTGGCTGTGCTGGCGAGATTCGCACAACTCGCGGTCTCGCGCCAACGCCACTGATCTATGTATAAAGATACGTTTGGTTCATGAACCCTACCGACCACACGGATCGGATTCTGCCGACCGTCGATCGAGAATAAGCGAGTCCACTTGCCTTCGAGCCATACGACACAAAGGTCAATGATGCTGATCATGTTAAAAGCTGTCACCGTCATGATGATGCCAACAAAGGAAAAAATTCAAGCAGCTGTAACAACAAATCTGATGCTGATCATGCTAAAGCCGTCACCGTCATGCCGATGCAAACGACGGAAAAAATCCAATCAGCTACAATAACACATCGAGTCAGCTGGGTCTATTTCAAGCCAAGTATACAAATACAACACAACCTGAAACACATGTAACTCTCATGCCGTGAAAGAAAATATGACATGACATCAAATATGAAAATATGATGTGCCATGAGATGATGATCTCACGATACGCCCGTGATATGCTATTGTGATCATGAGCTAACGATGAGGTCGATGACGATTGCAATGACGTAGCTGCTGGTAATGATGATGATGATGATGATGATGATGGTGCTGACGACGATGATGATGATAATGATGATGATGATGATGTGGATGATAAGGATGATGATGATAATGATGCTGATGATGATGATGAAGGTGATGATGATGATGATGATAATGATGATGATGGTGCATGTCGCCAGGCACGGTTTACACCACACGTTGTTTACGCCAGACGAAGTAACCATGGAAAAGTTTACACCAGACAAAGCCGACAAAGGTTTACACCAGAGAAGAGTTTACACCAGACATCGATTACACCAGACACCGTCTATACACCAGACACGGTTTACACCAGACGTCGTTTACACCAGACAAGGCCAACAAAGGTTTACACCAGAAAGAGTTTACAGCAGAGACAGTTTACACCAGACAGCGTTTACACCGGACACCGTTTACACCAGACAAAAAGGTCTTACCGCAGACGAGGTTTACACCAGACAAAACCGACAAAGGTTTACACCAGAAAGAGTTTACAGCAGAGACAGTTTACACCAGACAGCGTTTACACCAGACACCGTATACACCAGACACGGTTTACACCAGACGTCGTTTACACCAGACAAAGCCAACAAAGGTTTACACCAGAAAAAGTTTACACCATAGACAGTTTACACCAGACAGCGTTTACACCAGACACCGTTTACACCAGACATGGTTTACACCAGACATGGTGGAAACCATTGCAGCAGCAATTATAAGGCGATTAGCAACAAAAGATTGCAAAACACCACGTAACTACGCACTGAACGATGACACAGGAACACCTTCGAGCCAGAACTATAAGGCGAATAGCAACCAAAGCGTGTAAAACACCATGTAACTACGCACCGAACGATGACACAGGAACACCTTCGAGCCAGAACTATAAGGCGATTAGCAACCAAAGATTGCAAAACACCATGTAACTGCGCACCGCAAGCACAGAGAATAGCCTCCCAAAACCGGATCTCGACGTCCAAGCTCCAAAAATTGCGATTTCGAAGCGTTTTTTAAAAGAGATTTATAAGAAAAATGAAAGCGGCAAAACTTGGAAAAAAGTACGTTGGAAACCATTGCAGTAGCAATTATAAGGCGATTAGCAACCAAAGCTTGCAAAACACCACGTAACTGCGCACCAAACGATGACACAGGAACACCTTCGAGCCAGAACTATAAGGCGATTAGCAACCAAAGCTTGCAAAACACAATGTAACTACGCTCCGAGCGATGACACAGGAACACCTTCGAGCCAGAATTACAATGGGGGAACGCTCCGGGCACAGACCATGGAATCGCATTTCCCAACGAGTATGAAGTCCGCAGCGCGCATTCGCGACATCCTTGCGACCAGAATTACAATGGGGGAACGATCCG